CACACACACACACACACACACACACACTGAATTGAGGAGATGAATGTAGTAGGGTGCCATGACCTAAAATTCCCTCTGCAACGTGACAAACCTGGGGCCTCTACTAGCTCTGCATGTCTACTAAACATTTTAGTTGCTGCTCACCCGCACTGATGCTTTTGGGTATCTTGGTGCCCTGAAGTAACTTTTGGCCTTTGGAAAAGTTGCTTAATAGCACTGAGTATGTTCCGTGCATTGTTTGAGCATGACTTTGATGGGACTTTGAATTTTACAATAGGGAAAACATTGTCTGGCAGGTAAGAGGTAGAGGAGGAAGCAAAAAAAAAAAAAGTCTTACAAGATTGTGTCAGTGGGCTAGAGAAGATTTGAAAACGGTAAGATTTCTTGCTATACTTCTATGTGTAGAATTGCCTTTAAGGAATCTCGATAAGAAAGACACTCGTGTGGTGGGAGGAGTCTGGGCTAGAGGACAAACAAGACATCTGGTTCTCCTGTTGCCCCAGTTGTTGTAGTCGGCTTAACCTTCTGAAGCCATAAAATGAGGGGAACGGACTAACTCTGGTGAGTCCGTGTCTGCTTCTGAGATTGAATATTGGGTATGCTAGTAATAGAACTGGCTAGAGATCCTCTTCATATCGAAGCAAAGGCAAACTAAGCAATGGAGGGGGCTTGGCACAGTAGAAAAGCATGGGATGTTTGGATTGGCTGAGTGAAGAAAGGACATGCCATCTTAGAAAAGGAGTCCGACTCTGGGTGGAACATTGGAGACACCTACATGGGTTGGAAGGAAGAAAAAAAGAGAGATACTCATGAGACACAAAATCAGGGTTTTCTCATTTCTATGCCCCCATTCTCGCTACAGTATTAAATTTGCCTGCATGTCCCAGTATGCATGAGCATAATAGTCTGCTCTTACCCATAGGTGTGACTGGAGCACACCTTGTTATCTGCAATCTGATCTGAATGCAAAGAACTGCCATTTAAATTCTTACCTTAAATTTGTGCTATTACAACACAAGAAAATGTCTACATTGAATGCATTTCAAGGAGTATTTTGCATGCTTTGGGGTATTTTATTAAGGAGCCCTGGGAGTGTTACACACTAGAAAGGTTTGTGGTTCGAAGCAGGGAGGAGGGAGTGGGCCACATCAGTGGTCAAAAGACCTTTAATTGCCTAGGCTTGGCATGACCAGAAAGACTAATTGAGGAGCCCTGTTAAGTAGGGCTTTCTAGATCAAAACCCCGTTCCCTCTCTGCCAATCTGGTCAACAGGTTTTGGACACATGATTAGGTACAGCAGTGAAGCGGGCCTAGGAGGAGGAAGAGAGGAGATGACAAAGCATGTGAGTGGGATTAACCATTTTCCTGATGACTCCTCAGTCTACCCTGGCAAACCCTGTCTTCAAAAACTTCCTCTTCAAGTACCTCTAAAAAACCCAAAACCAAACCTTCTGCCATCGAGTCAGTTCTGACCCATAACGACCCGTAGGATGCAGTAGAACTGCCCCCTAGTGGGTTTTCCAAAACTAACTCTTATGGGAGTAGAAAGCCTCATCTTTCTCCTGTGGATCCCCAGTGGTTTAGAACTACTGACCTTGTAGTGAGCACTCAACACATAACCCACTGCACCATCAAGGCGCCTCAACTTTCAAAAACAGTTTGATCAAACAATAATGGACATTCCCATTCCTTGGAAAAGGGATAAGACTACTTGTTTCTTATAGTGTCTGCTCTGCAGAATAAAAATGTGGCATTTTGTTTCCATGAGGATTACAACCTTGGAACCCCCATTGGCCACTATCTATAGTCATATGAAGTCACTGAACATGAATGGATTCCAGCACTGGAAGGTGTTTCATGGGCACAGGCTCTCGGCTCTGGCCCAGTAGTAGGGATGTCAGGGTTATCTGTTCTTGTAGCAGAGCACCACAGATTGGCCCACTCACACCAGGCAGCTGCTGATGACATTAGTTGGTTTCCAAGTTTTCTGGTTGTTAGGAAAGGGCATTCAAGGGGACCTGGGATGCAGGTGACTTCTGGGATGGCAACTCTGTGTGGATTTGTAAAGCGATTGTCACCCCAACTTGGCCTCTTCCTTGATACTGTGCTTGGGACTCTAACTTGTAATCATCTGAGGTTCAGGAAGCAGGTGTGAATGGGGTATCAGAGAGAGGCTGGAGGCACTTGCCCAACAAGGAAGCCAAGAAGCAGGACTAGAAATAGATCTTTAACTGACAAAACTTCTGAAAAGTAGGATTAGAACTTGGATCTGTTGATGGTTAGGTAGTTAGTCCCCACTTTTGGGGGTGAGGAGGAGGAGAATGATAGTTAGAAGGGGTGCACTTTAAGTATATATGAGAGCTTAGAGAATTAACCTGGGAAGAAATTGGAGTTATCTTCTAATCTTCCTCCTTCCTCTCCATATCCTTACTTTGTAGAAGTTGCCTCTCCTCTCCCTTCCTCCCCTCCCCCATGTACAGGTCTTGAAAGAACGTTGAACCACCTGGGCTGCAGGTTTTCTTTTCTTTTTTTTTTTTTAACATTTTATTAGGGGCTCATACAACTGTTATCCCAATCCATACACACATCAATTGTGTAAAGCGCATTTGTACATCGTTTCTCAAAACATTTTCTCTCCATTTAAACCCCCGATATTAGGTCCTCGGGCTGCAGGTTTTCATAGCATCTCGGTGTTAAGTAAAGACTTAAATTAAAACAGAGGTCCCCAACCCTCTTTTCTTTTCAGAACACAGGCAAGGTTTCTTGGTCTTCCCAGGCTCTTGTTCAGAGCTGCCTGGCATGGTGGGGTTGGGATTGTAGGAAGTTTGTTCCTGAAACTGGCTCAGTGACCAGCTGACCTTGTACAGGCAGCGTTCTCTTGTTTTTGTCTGTATTGGAGAAGATTGCCTCCTCCTCATGCTAAACACAAATTGTTGAAATGCTCCTTGCATCTCCCAGAGACACTGATATGTGTCAGTGTCAGCTGGGTTTGACACTATAAAAAACAAGTAGTTTTACCCCTTTCCAAGGAATGGGAATGTCCATTATTGTTTGATCAAACTGTCTTTGAAAACTGAGGAACCTTGATGGTGCAGTGGGTTATGTGTTGAGTGCTCACTACAAGGTCAGTAGTTCTAAACCACTGGGGATCCACAGGAGAAAGATGAGGCTTTCTTCTCCCATAAACAGTTAGTTTTGGAAAACCCACTAGGGGGCAGTTCTACTGCATCCTACGGGTCGTTATGGGTCAGAACTGACTCGATGGCAGAAGGTTTGGTTTTGGGTTTTTTAGAGGTACTTGAAGAGGAAGTTTTTGAAGCCAGGGTTTGCCAGGGTGGACTGAGGAGTCATCAGGAAAATGATCAATCCCACTCACATGCTTTGTCATCTCCTCTCTTCTTCCTCCTCCTAGTCCCACTTAACTGCTGTACCTAATCATGTGTCCAAAACCTTCTGTTGACCAGATTGGCAGAGAGGGAACGAGGTTTTGATCTAGAAAGCCCTACTTTACAAACAGGGCTCCTCAATTAGTCTTTCTGGTCATGCCAAGCCTAGGCATTTAGAAGTCTTTTGACCACTGGTGTGGCCCACTCCCTCCTCCCTGAGGCCTCTGGGCCTATCTACTGAGCAGCTAACCTGACCAGCAGCAGCTGTTCTTTTTTGTCTTTCCTGTAACCCAGAAGCACTTGATTTAGGCCTCCGCCTCTTTCAAGAGGTTCTTTGCTGACACTAAGCCACTCAGTCATTTGGGCAAGAAGCAGGCCTGGTCCCACTGAAGCCCTGGTCAGCAGTTATTTTCTGTAAGCGAGACAGGGTTGCTCTTCTGGTTCCTTCCCTTCAGCTTCTGTGTCGGTGTAAATCACAGCCAGCTGTCAGGTGTAAAGGCGGACTCAGAGCTGTGCATCTGAGGCTGGAGAGGGAGTTGCCCTCTCTCCCAGAGGTGGTACCTCCTCTTTGTCTTCCTGCTGTGACTTTGATTTAGGGATAGAGAAGGGGAAGCCCTAAATGATTTCACAGTAAAGCACTTGAATTCTATTGATCCAGACAAATCTGCAGTTCTGCCTCTTATAGGGCTTTCTAATCAATCTTGTTGGACACATTGAAGAGCTGCAGGGTCGATATCTGTTTTACTAAGGAGATGGTCATCTTTTTTAATTGCAGGTTCCATTACAGCTTATAGAAAGTGTTGAATGCCGAGATATATTCCAACTTCATTTGACTTGCAAAGACTGCAAAGTTATCAGGTATGTGGCATGTGTGCACTGCTGTTTAGGGTAGAAACTATTTCTTGTAAAGAAGGAAGACATGCTTGGGTTATTTATCAAAACAGCTTTTGAGTGTCAGCCTTACTAAGAATATTTTCTGAATAGTTAATGCCTTAAATGTTTCATCCTAGGATACTTTGCTATATTGAAAGGCTTTTTACTTGGGAAAAATTTCAAATGTACAAAAAGGTACAAAATAAAAACAGTACAGAGAACACGAGCACACCATTTATACATCAGTTATATAATATTAATTGTGTCAGTATGCCTCTCCTAAGAATAGGCACATTTTCTTATAGAACTGCATCATCATTATCATCTTTAAAAATTTACATTGATGATAATTTTATCCAGTTCATATTCCAGTTTCTTCATTTGACCTAACAGTGTTCTTTATTTCATCCGCCTATCATCCTCCTCCTGCACCGGAACCAGTCAGGATCAGATAGTGCATTTTGTTGCCATGGCTCCTTAACTCAATCTGGGACCCTTTTTGCATCTCTCATCTCCCTTTTGTTTTGATAAAGTATCATTTTGATGTTTCTTGATGATTAAATGAGGCTATGCATTCACAGCTGGAATCCTATATCTATATCTATATATATATGCTGTGACTTTTTCAGTGTGTTATATTCCATCTGGATCAATGACTGCCCATTTGTCCATCATGGTAGCGTTCACTCTGAGCACTGTCAAGGTGTTTCCAGTTTTGGTATAATTTCTGTAGTATTTTTATTCCAACTAGTAAGCCCTCCAAGGTACTTAGAGATCATGCAAATGCCCTTGGAATTTTTTTCCCGGATTTTTAAAAACTAAAATTTTCCCAAGTTTAATATCTACCAATGATTTTTTATGTGCTCTAAACTTCAGTAGTTGCAAAATAGTGACAAATGCATTTTAAGCTTAGTTGCTCTATTTACTTTGTTCTCTTGGCCTATTCTGGAATACCAGGAGGCATAGTGTTGGCATATTGACAAGCCACAATGATTCTGTGACCCTTTAAGCCATTTGAAGATAAACATTTAAGTTGCTTTGTAGCCATTTGATACATTCTGGCTACAACTCAGTTTTTAAAAATCCTGATCATTAGTTACTTTTTAAGACTCTTTACATTTATCAAGGTAAAGTATTTAAACAAACTCCCCAGGACATTTTATACTGTTTTCATCCTTTAGTTGTATGTTCTGAAAATTAAATTGCTGACAAAATTGCTTTTCTTTCCAGGTGGTCACAGCTGAAAGTTGCAACATAATAGGTTTTTTAATTTTTATTTTAATGATAGATCTTATTTTAGACCTAGAGTTGTTGATTATTCTAGTTTTGTTAGATAGAAGGGTGTATTAGAATGCATAGAATGAAACTATTCATGAGAGAATAATGGCCATTTTAATTTTCTTATTGTGATAAAATACATTTAGCAAAACAGTTGCCATTTCAGTCTATTTTAATAATTGTCATTAATCAGTATCAGAAGAGAATCCATTAGTATATAAAATTAACTTTTCCATATGTCTGTCTTTTGACAGTGTGTACTTATGGGTCAAATTTGTTGAACTCACTTTCACTGTAAATGACAATGATGGATGACCCCTCTCTGATGCTTCCCGAACTGTAGTTCAGTAGGCACTCTGGAAATGATGTTTTCACTTAGATTTCATTGTCAACTCTCTTCTGATTTTCATACTTGCCTGGTTTTACAAAGGTGTCAGTTCTCAACCTTTGAGCAGTGTCAAGAGTGGCTGAAGCGACTGAACAATGCAATCCGACCACCTTCTAAGATAGAAGATCTCTTCTCATTTGCATACCACGCTTGGTGCATGGAGGTCTATGCTAGTGAAAAAGAGCAACATGGAGACCTGTGCAGACCAGGTAGGTCTCCTGAAATGTGCAGCTGGGGTTTGATTGAGCTACTGTTTGACATGTCTTTAACGTAATGGGATTCTAGGCATTCATCCTTGTTTGTGGAGCACCTGGCAGTACCATATCTCTTCTAAGTTCAGTGGAACATGTGCTCTAACTTTCGGGGGAAGGAAGAACAATTGATTTGGCATCATAATCTAGTGCGCTGGTAACTCCAATAAGGTTTGATGGGTGTTAGTGAAGCCTAGGAGTCCCTGGATGTGCAAATGATTAATGTGCTTGGCTGCTAACTGAAAAGGTAGAGTGGAATTGACTCAGAGGTCCCTTGGAAGAAAGGCCCGGTGACTGGCTTCTAAAAATTCTGGCTCATGAGAACCCTATAGGGCACAGTTCTACTCTGATCACTTGGGGTCACCTTGATGACCACTGATCCACTGATAGAAAGTAAAATGGAAGGAGTCATGAAGGAGTTTTAAATATACATATGAGAAGACTTCACATTAGAAATAGCTTTTCAAGTAAGGTTAAGTAGGAGTTCACTGGTTAGAGAGTAAGGGAAATAAATGTTCAGGCAGAGTGAGTGCATGAACAGTGGTACAGAAGTATAAAGGTAGGCTACAAAACGGTGGAGTATACAATGGCCTTTGGCATTTTCAAATAATAGATTGCCTATTGCCCCTTCCATCCCCCAAATGAAGAAACAAAGACCCAGAGAGGTCAGGCAACTTCTCCAAGGTGAAATAGAGAGTGGAGCCTCTTCTGGAGCCCAGGCTTTCCGACTCCTATTTCCTTCGGAACACCTCTCCCTCCACGATGGCTTCACTGCGTCCATGCTACTTCTCTGCAGGACGCTGTCTATACATTTTATATTGCTTTACATGGAACCTGAGAACTTTGCTGGTTCAACGTGAATTCTCGTGTGTCAGACTTGGAAGGAAGCAAAGGCTTGCGTTCCTAAGCGGTGGAAAGGTGTGAACTGTCTTCTAGTGATGTTTACTCTTAGATACTTTCTTTCAGGCCTCAGTTTTCATCCTGAATCTTAGATTTTACACATCTTGCCAAGTCAATTTAAATTGAGGCTAATGTAGGTGTGCTTATTGTCACTTTGGGCCATAATCAGTTCTGTTCACTGATTGAAGCTTAAGGTTGATAATCTTGTTTAATTAAATATATACATACATAAGTATTACCTTCATTTCAAAGATGCTTGATTCTTATAACCCCACCAAGAAGTTATCTGTTTGAGGAGCTCTTCTCCCACCCTGCAAAAAGGAGTCTCAGAAGTAGAGCCAAAGCCTGCTACCAAGTCCCACTGCTAGTCAGTCTCAGAGCTCAACTTACATCATCCAGTCCTCAGTTACTGGGAGCACTGTGTGTTGCTGTGGATACAGAGGTGAACGGGCTCTTACGGAGACTCAGAATTCAAGCTGTGCCCACAGGCCTGGCCACAGAACCATCCACAAGAGACCACACTCACTTTAAAAGCTTGTGAGAATTGGGCGCTCACTTTACTCCCTTTATTTATGCATTTTCCTAAACAGTATCTAGCTTTTTATAAATAAAATAGGAGGAAACATCAAAAAGTTTGTAGAAAAGTGGAGTTAAAAGATAAAAGTGATAAACACCATGAACTTCAGCTCCGAAAATAAACTCCATCGATTAAGTTGAAAACATCTTCACCGTTTGGGAATTTAAAAATTCATGTCTTTCTCCCTTCGGAAACTGGTTCACGCTCAGCTGCCCTACCTAAAACAAGCTATTCCACAGGCAGCGCCCACTCCAGAGTACCTCTCCTCTGCTTCCCTCCAGGCACAGATAGAGACTTGGAATCGCCCTTCGTCTGAGGTATTTGGAATTCAGAGAATTCCAAGTTGGGATGCCAGAGCACTTGCTTTCCTTCAAGAGCACATCTTGCTTTTCTGTTTTTCGACCTTTAAGATACCATGGCTCTGACTCCTATTTTTTGTTTGTCCATGGTGCTCTTCCAGAAAAAAATTGAAGGTAAAATTTACATACAGTGAAATGCATACATTTTAAGTGTACATTCACTGAGGGTTTTTTTAAGGCTCTACCATATCTCAGGAAAATGATATTTATTGTCCCCTGATGAATTATGCTATATTAGAAAATGATTTGTTTAAAACCCTTAATGCCAAGAGGCATTCCTATTGCTGGGAGTTAGGGTGGAGTCAACAAAACTTGGTTTCTTCTGGTGTTCTCTTACAACACAGATGGAAAATTCTTTATCCTACTAGATGATGTGTTATCCCTTTGATAATGTACATTGTTTGTTTTGCATTTGTGCCAACACAGAATATTGCTAAAATATGCCAGGCCAGAACCTCACTCTTTTATTTTTATTATGGATGGCTTGGTCCCCTGGAAGGTTTATTTTTTTTGCCATATAAAGTGCCTGCTTCTTTCCTGGGGTTTAAAGGCATTCAGCCTTGTTCTTCTCTTTCTGCCCCCTTTGCACACAAAATATGAGCATACCAGACTACAGTGAGACAATACTTCAGATGTTTCAAAGTGATGCCTTTTCTGTATAATCTGCCCCAGCACATGAAATGATGGTTGAGACTCTGAGGAACGGAAATTTGTCTTTTAGTAGTTAATAAAGACATAGTTTCTTTTCTGCATCATCAGTTAAGAATAGGCTGTGCCAGAGGACACGGAAATGGGGAAATTGCACCTTGGAATTCACATGAATGTTCGTTTTCACCTCTTGAACCTGCCACAGTCAAGCCAGCCATCCTGTGGCCACTCATCTGTTTTGGAAGAAGTCTCTGCATTGCTAGTGGAGTTCACCGATGAAACCTGCCAAAGTCACTGTAAACTTCTGGCTTCTGCTTTTAGCTTCATTTCCACCCTAAAAGAACAGCCTCAGTATCCTTGTATGTGCTACTCTCTATTGCAGCTGACTTCTCTGTGCACTTGAACATTAGTCAAGTCTGAAATTGACACATTACTGGACACTTTAGCTACATCAGGCACACCTCTGTGCAATGCCCATTAAGCTCATCTTGTGAATCTACAGACAGCATATGGCTCTGTGGCTCACACTGCTCTGCAGCTGTCTGTTTAGAAAAGAGTGGAAGCCCTTGCCAACCTCCTGTCTGTTGAGTCTGCAGTCCAGTAAGTGTGCATCTCGACGGCATTGCTCTGTAGAAAAGAATGGATCTTCTGGCCCCATTGGAAATTTGCTAGATTTTTTCCCCCAAGAGTGGTTTTCAACCTGCAGGTTTGATCCACTAGTGGGTCACAAAATCTTTTTTTTTTTTTGCTTTAATAAATTTATTTTCTCTAATTTAGGATCCTAGAAATCTAACGCATTATCTCTTTTAACTCTTGACAGGGCTGTATAAAGAGAAATGAGGGCCCTAAAGACTGAGAATTCTTGGTCCCCTCCTGATTTGTATATTCATTTGGTTGGACTGGAAATGTGCATTATTTTAAATTTATTTTTAAAATACTTTTATTGGGGGCTGTTACATCTCTTATCACAATCACAAAATAATTTTAAAATGAGAATATAAAATGAATCACATGTAAAGAATGGGTTTTGTTTTTTGAACATTTTTTCTTATTAACATGGGCATTGAATTGTGATGTAAACTATACTTATGCACATTGGTTTTATGAAGCCATTGTTCTCAAGGAGCTTGAAATAACAGCTTTCCTGTGCATACTACTCAGTGTTTGTCTGTGTAGCTCAGAATTTCACACGCTGGATGGCAGTTCTAAGCCCTTTGGGTAGTGATTCCATGTGGTAAATTGCCAGTGGTCACTTTCAAACTCTGGGATCCTATTAAGGCATCTGCGTGTTCACCCTAGGATATAAGTGTAATGTGAAAAATTAATGAAAGTGCTTTTTATCTTTTCCAGAGACTTGGAACTGTATCCCTGGGTAGGCAAAACTCTTTAATGAATGAATTTGGAGTTATTATAGCATTACAACTTTTAGATTAGAATTATAAATGTTAGACTTCTTACCTAGCGTTTCAAAAAAACTTATTGTGTGTTGAGTGAAGGGGTTTACAGAGTGAATCAGTTTTTCACTCAACAATTCATACACATTTTGTTTTATCTCATTGATTATAATCCTTACCATGTAGCATCACTTATTCCAGTTTGTTTCCATTCCTCCGCCTCTTCTAGCTTTTCTTGCCTTCTGAACTTTGTCCTTTTGATCACTAATGGTTGATTCTAAGGTGTGTATTCCTCCCTAGTGTTATTGTTCTCCCACCCCTCCCTCCCTCCCTCCCATCCAGTGGGTTTCAACTCTGAGAGACACTGCAGGACCCCATAGAACGGCCAGGTTGTAAATTTTTACAAAAGCAGAAAGCCTCATCTTTTTTCCAGTGGAGTGGCAGATTGGTTCAAACTGCTGACCTGGCAGTTAGCTGCCCAGTGGGTGACTCACTGTGCTCCTTGTTCCCCTTATAGACAGACCTGTGTGTTGTGTGGCAGGAAAGAGTGATGGGGTGAGTTCTGTTCTAGACCTGAAGGGTGACTAAGGGCAGTAGGTTTGAGGGTTCTTTGTTTTTATGATTTTTGTTCCACCTGTTTTCTCACTCTATCCCAAACCATTTTCAAATATGACCCTTTTTAGAACAGTTGGTAGTGATGGCCAGGCGTCACCTAGTTGTCAGGTCTCTGGTTGTGGAAGCAGAGGTTAACACGGTCCATTCCTCCATTGGTCTAAGTATTTAGACGCGTCTTCACTCGTTTTTCCTCAGACGGGGAGAGATCATCAGTTAAGCCTTGCACGGCTACTCACAAGCTTTTAAGAGTGCAGTTGATACTCACAAAAGTAGTATGTAGAACATTGTAATTGTCTTTGGTCTGTGTTATGCTAGTTGACCTTGGTGTCTTCAGCGACCATGGTCTTGAGCTCCCAGGCCCAGCAACTCCCTCCCTCAAGGTGTTTGTCCAAGAAGTTTCGTAACTTTATGCTTTTGCATGCTCAACTATATTCATTAATTTACTTGCAGCATAGGCTAATACATATGCATAAATATTTTGTGACATTTATATACAGGGGACCTTCAAACAGATCATGGAAAATGGAATTAAAAGATAGTGGGATTTTCACATGAACTTTTTGAATCCTTTTTATATTTGTAGCTATAGTCTTATTATTTCCATACCTCTTACGCTTGCATGTCTAGGCTTCCTTTTTTGAGTAATGTAACTATTGGATTCCATAAGTAAAAAGGCATTGTTACAAGGATTCCAGTTCACATATTTACAGATTGATTCCCTCCAAAATGTGTTTACACGTGTTCTCCGGTCATCGGATAGCTGCCGTTAAGTTCTCTTGTCTTACTGAATCTCACTAGGGTATCTAGTGAATGTGAGTGTTGTCTGAAAATCAGCTAATTCAACTAGCCGATCTTTCCATTAGGGTTTTAAAACAAGACTAAAGCTAATGAAGATGATTTTATGCAATGAATGGTAACCAAGGACACGTCTTGGACATACCAGAATGATCCAGAGATCAAGGCCCAATTATAACGGTGACTTCCAATGGACTATGATGAGCTAGTTCAATTCAAGGCAGAGAGGTCAGCTCCGATGGTCATGGCAACTAGGGTTTTGTTTTTGCTTTTTAATTCTAAAGGTGTAATCTTGATAAATTTTCTTGAAAGACACAGGACAATTGTGGAGTTTATTAGGAAGTTTTAAGAAAATGGACAACTGTTGGTGACAAGAAAAAACAAAAACATGGTGACAAAGGACCTGTGGGTTCTGCGAGGATAGCAAAGATGTTTTATGAGAATTTCATTGGGAAACCACATCCTACCTACTTTACAACCTTGATCTTATCCCTTCAGGTTTCCTTTTGTTCCCTAAACTCAACAGTTAGGGAAATAAGGAGAAGTCCCTTGAAGATGCCAGAACTACCTTTTGATGTGCTGTCAATCTAAAAGCACAGAATTCCTCAAGGGAAGGTTAGAGAGGTGAAGCTCCGACTTCACAGTTGTGCAGACCTAGATGGAGGGTGTGCTGAGGAAGTAGTTACGTCACATTTGACACTCTCATTTAGTGTAAGTGTCTGTGATTCCTAGCAGTACCTCTTTTGGTCTTCCACTTGTGCTTTCCTCCCCGTGGCCTCCCTTGTGGTCACTGTGTCTAGCATTCTTATGGGCAATAGCCCTTGCAGTCTGTTGACAGATGCCACCCCAATCCAAAATAGCTTTTTTCCTGTTTGGAAACTTGCTACGTTGCTTCTAAAACTTTCCCCAAATGGGATAGATTCAATAGATTTGTGCATCTCTGAACCTCATCTTTTTGAAGCTCTTTTTCAGGAAACACATAATACCTAGTTTAAACTAAAAACAAGCAAACAAACCCAGTTCTAATAGGGAAGTAGTTATACTGAATTATCTTTCATTCAAATAATTGTTGTTCCCTATTCTGAAGCTCTTCTCCCCAGGAGAGCAAAGCTTTATACTTTGAATAGCAAAGCACTCTGTTTTGTGCTTTTTGTTACTGTGTCGTCTCCCAGCCTGTCTTAGCTTCAATTTTACAACCTATAGGACCATATCCTAGAGGTGCTGCTTAATTCAAAAAACTGCTCTAAGACTGTTTCCAAGCAAGAACGATTTCAGGTGGGCTGACATGGAAGTGTCACGTTAGGTTCATTTCTGCCTTTATTGTTGTCGTATTGAGGAGAGAACCAACACCATTAGGCAAATGTAGCCAGGCTAGACTGGTGTGGGTGGCTGTTCTTACAGACGCTCGGTGCTGGGTGTCCTGAGATTGCTGGGTACTGGCACTTTTGTTGTTTCTCACCTGCAATCTCAGATCTGAAAGGTTCTGAAAACCCAAAGGTTTCCTAATTTTGTGACTGGACCCTGAGGTGAGTTGGCATGAGGCTTTTTCTTATCTTTATCCCACTTACTGTGAACTATCCATACCATTTCCCGAAGAAGCATTGATAATTGAGGAGTTCCTATTGAGAGCATAAAATTACGACACATCTACCATTTTAACCCTGTGGAAACCCAAAAACCTGAGTTCTGAAATCTGGTCAAAGGGTTTGGGATATGGGGTTGTGGGTTGATAAGAAATGCTGTGTGTTCTGAACTTGTTAGCTTATTTTAGTTATCCGTCTGAAGGTGAAAGTAGGCGAGTAGCCAGTATAGTGACATTTAGCATTGGGGGACCACACATTCCTGGTCATAGTCCCCTCTCGCAGTCTCAGTTTTGTCTTCTAATAAGAATTCAGTGATAATATTCTCCGAGGCTGTTAGATGAGTTAACATAATTCTTGCTCAAAAGTTTTAGGCTTTTCCCCCACTGTATATTCTTAACCTGGCAGGGTTTTGTTTGTTTTTAAATTTAGAATTTATTTTTGTGTTGTTTTTAAAAAAATTAATTTTATTGGGGGCTCGTACAATTCTTTTCACAATCCATACATACGTTCATTGTGTCAAGCACATTTGTACATATGTTGCTATTATCATTCTCAAAACAT